ATCCAAATATCATAGAAAACAATTGACCGGCGTTTAGTCGAATTTGGATTTCACGGCAGAACAGCACGCATGAAACCACTTCTCACTAAAATTCAAAGGAAAGAATGTGTAGACTTTTCCAACGCTTATTGACCTTGAACATCAAATAAATGGAAGTATGTTGTTTGGAGCGATGTAACCAAAATAAATCGCATAGATTCTGATGGTCGAAAGTATGTTTGCCGAGCAATTTATCAAGAATTTGATCCTTGCTATGTTTCACGCGTAGTGAGGCATGGTGGAGGATCAATCATGGTGAGGGTTTTTTTTCTTGGAATGATGTAGATCCGCTCCATATGATGGATGGAATTTTAAATAAGGAGAAATACATAGATATCCTAAAAAATGTCATACTGCCACCTGACTAAGGACAATTTGAATGTTATATGAAAACTACAACCAAACAACAATCTAAAGAACACTGCAAAGTCAACACAAACGTTTTTTGTTGAAAATTCCATGAATGTTTTGGAGTGGCCTCTGGAGAGCACATCTGAGTTGATGTCAAAAAAGCTGTAGGTATCAAAAATAACACAAATATGGATGTCCTTTTTGATGCAATTAGGACGGCATTGCAAGTAACACTAGTGGTGTGCTGTCAGAGTCTTATAACGTCAATTCGCAGTGAATGTGAAGCAGTATTAAAGTTAAAGGGGTAGCAACAAAATACTAACTGAAAGTAAGAAATAGTTTTTAATAGCAGTATTTTTTGCTGATGAACAATTTTCGTTTCTAATTAGTTGTCGCGCTCAAATTGTTAAAATCTTCAAAAAAAAAAAAAAAAAAAAAAGGATTCTTAATTCAAATTTTTACTATTCGAGTTTGAGCTGAGCGTAAGTTTCAATAAAATGAGTGAGAAAATGGTAAAACTAAGTAATTTTTTCGAAAACAATTTAATTTACTTCAAAATAAGTCGCGTTTCTAATTCGCTGTCGACGGCTGTACATATTAAACATTTAAATAAACATATAAGCATTCAATGCATAAATTTGTATGTTTTCTCCTCGAATGATTCATGAAAGTAATTTAGACATTTTTCTTAATTCCTAGCCACACAATGACTTGCCAATGTCGGTGACACATAAGCAAACAAGGTGATATTGCTAGTGCGTCATCAACATATTAGATTCATCATTTAAATCCGTTACATTTTGCCACAGTTGAATTAATTGTTTGCATACTCGTGATTAGAAAAAAAAAATATTTCAGTTCTCGGTATATACGAAACGTCCAAGTTTTTATTGATAAAGAAATTATGATATCTATGTTAAGAAAAGTAAGGGTTTTCCACAGGCAAAGTGTCCAGATAAAATGTACTTCACTTTATATGCATATGATTGTGTGATATTGACTTTGAGCAATGGAATAGATGACAAATATTCAAAAGTAACATAAACAACTATCCGAATTTTCTTGCTTCTTCTACAAGGAGACTTAAACTATTTGTCGATAGATTCACAGCGGCCATACTCATGTACTGGACGTAAGAGTACAGACTTGATCTAAATATTGTAGTCAATGACATTCCAACTCTTTTATTCGGCATAGGATCGCGATTATTGTTAAAATACGAAGGCGCAAAAAAACTCATATCGCTAGCTGGTATCCCCGAAAAGAATAAAAAAAGTTGCTTCTTGCTGCTTCTTGATGTCTACCATCGAACAATTTAAGGAACGCAATGCACTTCTCTTCAAGCAATTTCTGTTGGGTGCTTTCGTGCAAAGCTATGCAGCACTGAAAGGTCATTCTTTGATTACGTCGACGACATAGCACAATTTATCGACCAGACTACGGAGGCACTAACTTTAGGCATACAGTAAACGCCGTACATCATCTAGCCATTTATACTTTCACTGACTCCTCCTAGTGTATGACGCCCTTTTAGTCAAACTACTGTCAATTTCAAACGAACAGTTCGATTTGTCTCGCGATTATAAAGTTCCCCTTGCGCGACTTCGTTCTGAATAACATAAATTAATCAGTTCAATAAAACTATAGTAAACCACTTTATCTAATTGCACTCAAAAGAATCATGATTTAAGTAAGTGGCTATGTGACTTTTAGATTGTTTGTTTCTACGCAGGTATGAGTTGCGGATCTAACTGCTAACTGAAAGCCTCACTCTAGCACATGTGAGCTACCTAAATATGGATATTTAGTATTTAAACTAGTTCCACTCGTTTAACTCGATCAAGCTTTCAAACACGCTGAGCATTGTTAAACTATTTCTCTTACATTGTATTTCTCTCACTCTGCTTTGCTCTTTTCCCAATTCCAGTTTAGCTCTTTTAGTTCGCAAATGAATGCAGCAATGTAAGGTCGTTGGAGATCGAACCATTCACAGGCAGATACAATATATTTCTGTGCTGCGAAAATTTCTGATTAAATATCAAACAAAGCATTAATTCGTAATTAAATTTCTCAAAAGGTCATATGCTATTTTTAGCTTGACGCGTGCTTCGTGGCGTCGTGCATTTAGAATCGTGCTTTAAGCTGAATTCATACAACTTTAATTAATCAGTTCTGCTAGGAGTGTACGGAGTGGCTTAAAATATCTAGTTGCACTCTTTGCCGCTATTTTTATTACATTTAAGAGATAGACAATGGAAACATAGGCGCGCGCACGCTTGCTGCTTCAACATATTAAAAGCCAAGGCGTTCGTTCATATTTTGAAATAAACATATTTAATTAGCAGTGCTCAGACCCATAAAAAAACCTTGAATCTTGATAAGGCTAAATTTTTTGTTTTTTTATAAATAAATCCGTAAACAAGTCTCTTTGGACATGCTTGATTGTGAACTGCCGATGAGCCATGGGTTTATGAATTTGACATGCAAATAAGACAAAGATAATCAGAATGGAGGGGAAAAAGGGGCTGAAACCTACACACCACGCCAAAGCTGCTCAAAAATCAAGGTGATGCTTTCTCTCGTATTCTATTCGTGGCTTCGGTCAATAAGTATTTCAAATTGGACGTATTGAGATTTTTATGAGAGCATCCAGAATTGTGGAAGATTTATGGATTTTACATGAAGTTAATGCTTCATCACCTATTGCTTGTGGACTATCATCACTTCAAATACGGCATTTTTGTTTATTAAGGTAGATCTTCAGGTATGAAGAAAATATTCTTGTGAATATCGAGATTGTTGGTTAGCACTTTTAAGCCTATTCATTGAAGTATCGACGTTCCTGATAGTCGCTCGGCCACAATTCTTGCGCAAGTTTCATTTTGTAATCCCGGATCCCTAAGATCTTTCCGTAAAATCTTTCATAAAGTGAATGGCCTAATTCAGGCTCTACCATACTCTGTTTCACAGCAACAAAAGCGTATTCTGTACGACGCTTTTGAGGATGCAGATTATCTACTATAGTAAACGTGTTGTGAAACCGACTCACTGCTCTTATTATTTTGATAATAAATGTGTACGGTTTACAAACGTTGTTTTAAATCGATAAGTCGTTTCGTTATGAAAGGGCAAACCAAATGGTATAAATCAAGTGACAGCTATCGAGATGATCAAAGTATTGTTTAGCTAATACAGGACCCCTTTAAAAACTTTTGAGCATGCGAGGAGTGAGGTTTATTTTCTTCTGCCATTTAGACAACACATTTAGGTATACTCCCTGATTTGGGAACAAATGACACGACTACCTTTCCTCAACCATTAACAACAAAGATACATATGTATAACCTGTAGCAAAACACATAAAAATATATTAGAACGTATACATAAATGAAAGTAAAAAATGAAGTTATTTGTGGGTGTGCACCGGTACGAGTGCACTCTAAGGTAAATAAATACTTTGAAATGTCAACGGCACCATTGATCGATTAATAAACCAACAATAATATCTAATATTGCTATCAGCGAATATAGTGCACACGATAGAGCGTAAAAAAGCCCGCTGATTTAGTATGACACATAGCGTCAAGGGACTCATATACCACAACAACAAATGTCCTGCAGCTGATTCGGTAGAGTAGAGCAGAGAGACGAAAAATTGGGCTAAAAAAATTTTGTTGATGCAATACGAAGACACCGGTAAAATGTGGGATATTTTTTAATTTTATTTATAATGCCTTTGACAACGAAACAAACGAAATGAAGAGCATTAAAAACACACATGCGTTGTTAAAAACAGTTTACTAAAATAATATATACACACCTGCATATGTATTTAAGTGTATATATTTACAATTCTGTTCTCCACATTTACACATTACTCTACTTTGCTCCAAAATATAGTAGACTCTCTTCTTTAAACTTTGCCGCTCACTGCGCTCTGATAACTAAATCTTAGCAGAGTAAGCACATCGCATGCCTACACACACAAATACATACATATGTACATAGAGACATACAAACTGCCGGAACACTGAAGCGTTTTTGTCATTGTTAACCTCCCCACACTGCCGTGACGCCGCCACGCTGCTCAGCTGCTGACCAACGCTGAGACACTGGCATCAAATTCGATGGTTTTTTAGTTAACCGGCTCGGCGCGGTGTCTATTTTTGCACGCGCGCGCACACAAGTGTTTCCCTAAATATCTGCATTAATTCTAACATAAATTTCGATGTAGTCGCATGATTTCCATTAGCTACGATAATCATCTCTACACCAGCTACAGAAAAACAACAAAACGGTGGTATGGTCCTTTGATGTCTACACTTATGAGAATTGCTTTCTGCTTTCTGTTCGCTGGTTTAATTGGGCATCAACGAGCGTTGAATGAATGTCGTTAACCTGTACGCTGACCGAGGAAGATGATGATTAAGTGGAATATGCCAAAAATATGAGCTTAGCAACTGGCAGATGCCAATGCGGCAGCGCTATGTGTGAGAGTTGGGTGACGGAAACGAGAGCGGCAAAGAAAATCTTACATTTAATCTGCATTTAACACTGAACAATCACAGCATTTCTAAAGCCAGATTGTTTTTTTTTTTTTAACCACTTACCAACAAGTACGGCGCGGTTGGCGTCAGCCGCAGTCCACGGCTGAGATGACTGCTTAACTCCGTACGTCGCAGTAGCATACGGAAACTTGTTACGCATACGCCCGGCGCCATATTCACCCCGAATCCTGTAACTACACCAGCAATGACACGCCCGCTTATACGTACGCCCACTATTGTAACGCTTTGCCGCGCCGTCTGCAGCACCTCTAAAGAAAGCAACAATAACAAAGCACAACCGATAACTTCACTTTGCCGAAAGCCGATACAAACAAACTTCAATAAATTGTGAACTGAACTTAAAATTTTCCACAAATTTATTTTTGAACACACGCACTCTTGCTGCTAGTGGGGAAGAAATTTGGCGTAATTTATAAAAATTTGGGATCAAGCACTTCTCTGGACAATTTGCTTGCTCCACTTTTATTCACATACTTTATTATTATACACTTTTATTATTTTTCCCTCTTATAATATTCCACTTTGCACAGACACACGCACACACATACACGAGCCCGCTCACGTTCAGTTATACTCCACCGTAGGTAGGTACTAGGTATGTAAATGTGTTTGCCTCTAGGTAAGACAACAAATCCAAACACCGGGGAGCTCACACACTGTGGTTGTTGTCATTAGCTATGGATCGGGCTCACTTGCTCGCTCGTTCGTTTGTTCTTTCGCTTTACAATTGTGCCGCGGCGGATGGCTATGCTCCACGCTGCGAAATAAAATGTCCCCAACACGCGAAGAACGTTGGCCGACAACTGAAAGTTCTCTTTCGTTAAGCATTTATCATGAACTGCTTTCACTATCTTCCACTTTAGTTGGCGCGTGGCGTTGCCACAGTTGAGCGTTTGCTAGTGGCAGTTACCAAAATGATTGGAGAGCGGGGCATTTTGTTGAGATACGGCGAATAAGGTGATTAATTGCAATTTTACGTAAAATCTTGTGGAATTGTACCAGAAAACTTCAGCAACTCTTTGACTTCAGCTCATAAGCTTGAATCGATAAAATTATAAACCACAATTTATAATTTTTATAATGTGAAAGAAAATCTTGTACACTTTACGCCAAATAGATATAATGCAGACCCGATAAAAGGCATTATCAAAATCTGTTTACTTCAAGAAATAAATCAATTGTGCCTAATTAAATATGCACAACTTTGTAAGATTCTTCATCAAGCCGGTAGCACGTGTTCGCGATGTCAGTGTCAAACTCAAAAGCTCGACAATGTTGCATACGCTAAGCAAACATAAAAGCAAAATTCGCTCTATAAAACTTAATGAAAGAGAGATAAGCTATGCGAGAAAAGAAAGCTTGCTACTACACACTCTTAACTGCTCTACTCTTAGCAGTGTTGACCTTCAAGTGGGTTGTATACTCGTACCAAATGGGCATCATGCAGTGAAACGTCTTTCTATTCTCAACTACATTTATGAAGAGCTGTTTTCACATAAATCTTGTTGATGCTTTTGAAATTTTATTTATAACGAATATACTATATTTAATCATGTTTAAAATTTATTTGCACTTTGTAAACCGAAAATTTTTTTTCGTAGTATTTTTATATGCTGGCAAACATACTTATGTCGACACCTTTTTCAAACCGCAAGCTTTAATTTAACGCAACAAGCTTTTCCAATAAAAATACTTTTTTATATAAAAAGCTGAATCAACAGGACAGCCGCATGTTTGCTTTATTTCCGTTTAGTACCTTAGCATAATAAAAGCTCTGTTTTATATGGTGGTTGAAGAAGGTGCATCAAATGCTGGTATATAAATGTTGAGGATACTTTAACAGCAGTATTTTTCCTTTGACCTACAATACGCATTTAGTGCAGCTATTTACCGTTAGAGTAATGTTTACTGACGTCTTTTAAATATAAAATCACAGTTATAGAAGGACTTTAAATTCGCTAACACTTGTGGCTCAATGTGATGTTGCATTATAATCGTGTAAACTCCATCAATTGTTCTTCCCCAATCCCGGCCGTTTTCGATGAATGTCTAAATAGAACTCGTTTTGACCTCTGTCCCTCCGGAATAATTCGTGATCCATCAAACCACGAGTTTTGAAAAAACAATGAGCATCAACTTGATTTTTGAGTAGCTTGGTTTCTTTTAGCTTTTTGGTTTCGAATAGTTTTTTTTCCCTAAATTTCTATGATTGTTAACTTGCTTGCATGTCGAACTCATAAACTCGTCTCATCGGCAGTATTATAACTCTCTCTTCATGAACGTGGGTTCGGAGTTCTCATGTTTAAATGACCTGTTACGGTACTATTTTTGAAAATAATTCAGTTTTATCGGGCATACCCAAAATATTCACCAAAATCATTTGATCGGACTCGCGAGCAATGTCGTGCTATCCAAGCATATCTCTAACGCTGAGGTTTACGAGTTGAAGCTTACGTCGTACAACTTAATATCTAATTCGGTTGCTTCATCGAGTTTCTGGAGCAGCGAAACGCCTCGATATCTAACCCGAGTTCTTGATAAGGCCAGAAATAAGCAGAGTGGATGTTTCAGCGTCCCGGGTACTTACGTGCATTTTCTGCTAATGCTGTCCCACAACTATTCTGCAGTCTTTGCGAGATCGCATGAGAAGAAAGCTTGCGTGTTTTCCCTCCGCTCTCTTGCATGCCTCTAAAATATTCCAGCTCACACTGATTCGTCTGTCAGCCCTTTCGGAATATTAATTGTGTAATGCTTTTAATGACTTGCTTATTTATTAATTAGTTCAGTAGTCAAGCGGATTTCTTTTTGGTAATCTCATCAGATATTTCGTATCTCGGAACGCCCTTGTAGCCTGCAACTCTGTATATACTCGTACAAGGGTATACACTAATTATATGGACTACATTCTTGCTTCTAAAGACATATGTGATATAAATTAAGCACAAATTGGTAGAAAGAATCATATGCCATGCTCTTATATGGACCAGTGGATTATAGGATTAAAACGTCATTGATACGGTGAAAAATGGTACTACCCATTGAGCTTTATGGATTTCTTCTAAAAAAAAAAAAAAAAAAAAATCAAGTAAATTATAATTGTGAATATATAATTTGGTATAAAAGAGCGTCTCTGAGATTTGAAAACTATATTTTCAAAATTGGTGATTACATATTGGTAGTTCATACATTTCCCTTTTACCTTTGAAGATCTACATGCTTCTCGCAATACGTATTTGATACACTTTTAAACGTCTTAATTAAACTAAGTGATTATATATTTTTGATATTTAATCCAATTCTGTGCACACTTATTATAAGCAACGGGACATTTTTGGTGTGCCATTTGTTAGACAGTTCCGACGTCATATTTATAAGCTCACGTCTCGCCTTTAATTGTAGTGGACATTTGCGTCCCCCTAACCTTCACACATAGCACAATATAACGATTTCTACTCTCACTCACTTCTGTTTGATTTTATTTCAATTATGTAAAATAGGAATGTCTACTACGTAGCAAATAGAACTGATGCCTATACATTTCCTAACCCTAGGATAAATAAACATATTACATTTGGCAAAATTTACTGACAGCAGGAGTGTAAAAATGTATCAGAAATTCTCATGACTATCGGAATGGGAAAGGAGACTGCTAAATACCAGAGTTTACAGCCAACTTACTAGCAGGTCAATTGAAAAATCCCCTGCCCACCATATTGAAATATATTTTTTGTTTTTAGTTGTTTTTATTCAACATATGTAGTTCCCTTTAAGGGTTTTGCTTTCGATACCTTTTCGATACCATTTTTGTTGTATGAATTGCCATTCGCTTCCAAATAGGCTTCAGTTTCGGCGATCAGCTCTTCATTCGATGAAAATTTCTTCCAACGAGCACTTTTTTGAGATCTGCGAACAGGAAATAATTGCTGCGGGCCAGATTTGGAGAATACGGTGGATGCAGAAGCAATTCAAAGCCCAATGCATGGCTTTCTGGCATCGTTTTCATTTAATTGTGTCATGATGCATTGTCTCGGTGAAATAGCACTTTCGCCGATTTCGTACTTCAAATAGATGAATAAGGCTATGTAATTGTCGCTGTTGACGTCACTTCCCTTTTCACGGTAGTCAATAAAAAATATTCCATGCGCGTCAAAAAATACAGACGCCAAACCTTGCCATCCGACCGTTGTGTTTTCTCACTCTTTGAAGGGAAGTCAACATCTGCAGTTCACTTGGATGACTGTCGATTAAACTTCGGAGGTAAATGATAATAATAATAATAATACCCAACGATTACCCTCCCTTCGCCCAACCGATGCGCGGGGCGCAATCCGCGAACGAGCGGTCATAAAAGGCAAGAATGTTACTTGTTAAGAGTAGATAAAATATATTTTTTTTAATGGTAAAGAGAGAATGTGTTAGATCAAATGTGCTGGTATGGGAATTGAAATAGTGACATATACGGCGGAATGGT